CTATCTACTTTCTCATGAAGTTCAAGTAACAATTCCTTAATATCCGCCAATGTAGAATGATCTTAAATTATTTTAAATATTAAATAAAATTAAAAATACTATATATAGAATATATACGAAATAATCTAAATTGTATTATAAATTTTAACTATCTGAAGTTCTTTGTGCAAAATGAGAAATAGAGCCAATAGACCTGCTCAGTTGTGCAGCAACTAGCAAAGTACCAGACTGTAAAGGCATACTAACAGACTGTGAAGGCACACTAACAGAAGTTCTTTTTAAGAAGTCTTGGAGTTGTTGAGCTGACATTCTTTCTAATTTTCTGGGTCTTTGGGAAGCCATTTTGTATATGATAATAAGAAAGGATATAAAATAAAAAATAAAAAATAAAAATAAAAAATAAAAAAAAAATAAAAAATAATGAAAAATAAATGAAAGAAATTGTAAAATAAATTAAGAGAAAGCGATTTAATTCGAATAAGATTGAAAAAATAGGTTATGTAAGAGAAAGTTAAATGGACGATGATAAAGTAGAATTGGTGTAAAATAGATCAATGAATTTGAGATTGAAAGTTATAAATGTAATGAAAATTTGTTGATGGGAAAAATTACGAAGAGGAAGACTGCAAAAGATGGTTTATTTAAATATTTTCAAAAAAGTTTCTAATGTAATCAGTATAAACAGCTTATGCGAGATGATTTTATTATATTCGAATATATGGAACCTATTCGCATTTTCTAAAGTAATCGAATTTATAATAATAACTTCAGTTATCGAAGATTCAAAGTATTTAGATTTATTTTAATCGAATTTTTAAATTTATTATATTAAATACATTTGGCATATATTTTAAATGCCGTCGTCTTTTTTAACTCCCGATCACATTAAAAATAATTTGGATTAGTTCGAAACAATTAGAAATAAACCAATTACATTTTGATACGTTTAGATTAGTTTAAAATAAATTTGGATTAGCTTAAACAATGTGATTTACACTTATTTCT